TTTAAAGCCAACCAATGGAATGTTCTGGTTAAACAGATCAGTTTGGGCTCTTCAGCTGGACTAAGATTCTGCTACTATTCTCAAAGCAGGTTAGTTAATGTGGTTACATCCAAAGCTCCCAGCATGAGCCAAAAAAATACGTAACATAAACAAAACAAAAAATAACGGTCAGTTATCCTAAAAATTACACACAAGTTTTTAGTGTTCTACTCTGTGGAGCCAAATGTAGGAGAATATCAAGCCATTTGGTTCAATTTACCACTTCTCCATTAATTTGGCTTTGGAGTTTAGGGAGAACATTCTATTCCTCGGTGTATCTATTTATACAATGGGTAGGCATTCCAGAGACCCATTTTTTGTGTAACACAGTATTTACGTAACAAGGTTCCATTGTTCTTTTATATTCCATGGTATCCTTCACACATTTCTCCTTGCTAAGGATCTGACTTTGAGGTTGTACCTCATCTGTGTCCTACTTACTCTGTGCGGAAATTCCAGAAACATTCCACTAGTTACTGTGCCCATGCTCCTGGGGCCACATCTATGTGAAATCAATATTGATCTGTAATTTTCACTGGAAACCGAATACTTATTAGGTGGAAACATCCCCAAAAAAGATAAAGAAAGCAATATAGCTCATAGTTATAACTTCCAAACTATGAGACTACCACTTTAAATCCAGATCCACTGAAGGCCAACGCTCCTATTTCCAGGAAATTTCCTTTGGCAATTTCCTGTACTGAATATGTTTGGAGACCTGTATCCATGTCTCTAGTAATTTATCACACTTCATTTAGCTGAGGTTCCACAGTGAACAAGACTTAGTGGCTTTCAGATTTTCCTGACCCCACATGAAATATCAAATTGGGTGCTTTTTGGAATTTAAGGTCATGTTCCTCATTCCAGTAACATTCTTTAGAAGAACAAGTCAATTAAGAATTCTGTTTATCAAAAACCTGCTTTTTAGTTTTCTTTGGCAAACCTCTCTTATAACAATTGCCAGATTTCAAATCCTTCAGTTCATTAGTTAAAAATACAAAGAAAGTCCATTTGTACTCAGTAAATTGTGAAAATTATTGAATAATTCAACAATACACTAACTTTCACAACTTAAATACTCCACAGTTCATGGGGACCACAATATAAGGAGAAAAAGATAGCCTTTTAGGCCACATCCCCATTTCCTGGCTGATTGAGCGACCCATAGAAAGGCATATTTGAGACCCAATCTGCCAACTTGTGAGTTATGGTAAGATATGGAGCATTTTAGTATAAGGTGCAGTGTTTGTTCTGGAGTTTTCTTTTCATTAAAGAAAAGTATACAAAATATAGGTCTCCTTTCCTTGTAAATGTTTCCAGTTTTTTATTCCTCCTTTTTTTGTTGTATTGCATCTGGCTCAGTCTTCCCAGTGCCTTTACACTGGATGTAAGAGTGAATGAGAGTATGATCATTTCCCCCCGCTTGTCTGTTGGTCGCTTTTACAATATCTATCAATCCATTGGGGTCCTCTGTTCTTTTTTTACATCTATATTTACAGTATGTACTTCTAGTTCCTCAGAGAACTATCATTTTAGGATTATTCAGCTTTGAAAGTTGCTCCCTGGAGGCTTGTGATACACTCCTTGACATTTTTAACCAGAGGATTTGGTGCCAGGTTAAGTTACTACACATATGTTTGTAAGGTTGGTATGTGGACCTAATTATATGAAGTTTCTAAACTGGTGAACATGCTTTTATAGTGTGTAAGATTAATTGAAAGTTAGGACAAAACCTTTCAAAATCGTAATTCCTTTTAACTGGAAATACCTAGAAATAGAGGGATTGTAATGGAAACCCTTAATATAATTACAGAAAGATATGAAAAGAGAAATAAAATTATTTTAGCCAAAGTAGGGAATTTCTCCTTATAAATCCATTATAATAGCTTCTGAATGTATTTTTTATAAAGAGGAAAAAACATTTTTTGTTAATACAGGATTGGAGTTGCGTTTTGTAGTCATACTTAATAGCCTTATATAAATGAATGCACCTCTCTATGTAACCACTAGATGTCAGAAGTACTACAGGAGCCTGAGAGGTGACTAAGGGCCTGGTGGAAATTCAACAACATATCACAGGACTTCACATATTTCACTGTTTCCACATGGTAGATGCCAGAAGAATCTGATACAGTGTGATATATAGAAGCAAGGTACAACTGGAATAATGAAATTTCAAAAATAAGCCCTTTTTAAAGGCTGGTTGTAACAGTCCTGTTGGGTATTGTAAATGCCTCAGGTGCACTTGATACTGCTGTTACGTTCCTGGCTTTTGGTTCTAATTTTTATGGAAAGATGGATTGAACTTCAATTTAAGAATATTCGGTAATCCCTCTCAGGACATACTGTAACAGCTGGTATTTCTGTGTTGCAGCAAATTGATTCCATACAGCAGTCAGCAATACTAATGGCTGGATTCTGACACAAACTTCCAAAACATTTTAAATAAATTCAGCCAAAGAAAATAACATCATCAATGCAAAAATGTAGCTTAATTTGCAAGTTCGGGGAAAAAACGCTGTTGCACTCCAATAAAATATTAAGCATTTTACTAGTAAGGATTTCACCATGTCTTTTATTTTTCTTTAATGTATATAATATAAGTTCTGGAGGGAATAACTTTATGCCATATATTCATTTATTTAAAATATAAGGCATTTTAATTTGTTTAATACTGAACATTTTACCATAAAATAAAGAAAATGATGAATGACATCCAGACTTTTTATAATGTATGAGTGTGGATCAACAGAACTTTCTAGTTTATGTGAGCAATTTTCTTGCAGTGTCTGCAGCATTAATTAGTAATAATGCAGTGCATTTGTTGATGAAAATGCCTTTGAAATGTTTACTGCATTCATTTTTTGACAAGGGACAAAATCTTTAAATTGCACATAAGCCAGAGGTATGTGATGATAATGATATGAGCTGTTGCTACATTTTAACAAGTTCCGTAAGCTTATGGAAACTGAAAAACTCATGATACCATCTACATGTTTTGTTAGTCTGTAAAGTGCTACTAGACCATTTGTTGTTTTTTAAGTTTGTTCTCTATCAGTTAGTGACATCCTTCAGACAAGGACGGTCATATACTGAGTGGGGAATCATAACACATTTTAGAACTCGCATCTTCTTTTATGAAACTTATATGTATAAAAAGTAAAAATTGAATTTGTACTTTTTCTTAATTTGTACATTATGTCCTTGGCATGGATGTCAGTATTTTTTCTAAACTGAAGTTTGGCTTCACTTGCACATAGATGTTTTGTAACTCTAGCATCATAAGGAAATCTTTGTCGGCCTTGAATCTAACCTTTTTTTTCTCTGTTCCAAATTTTGCATTTAGCATGACTTAATGGAGTTGTCATTTACTTGAAAATATAAATACATTTGGAAGTTGAGGCATCATTTAGTGAAAACTTTAATTTTTCCCCACAGTCTATTAAAATCTAATCTTCAGTGTGCTGTCTAATTCAAGTAAAATAACACATTTTCTTTTTTTATATTCTTAAAAATCCATATTTAACAAAAAGTGTATGTTTCTGCTAGTGCCGTAAAACTTATCAGCCTTTGTCATTTAAAACAAATTCTTAAGGGGAGGGAGGAGTAGGGGAAATAACCTGAATGTGTAATTTTAGAAAATCACTTAAATCTGACAGCATATAAATCTTTGGTGAACTTAAAAAAAAACTTGAAAAAAGACATTTTAATAACAAGTTCAGTTTGGAGCATGTTAGCAACCCTGCCTTTTAATAAACAATAGATGATAATTTACTAAACAAAGTCTGACTAACAGTCCACGATAAACCATAATACTTGTACACACTTTTTTCATGTTTGGAGGACAAAATATTGAGCAGAGGTAATGGCAAAGGTCATGGCACGTGTGCTGTAATTTTTTATTAGAATATGTATATACAAGTGTGTCCAAAATATGCACTTTTCAGGACCAGGATGACATTAAAAGACAACCATTCTGATTAATAGTGTGGATGTTTAAAAAAGAAACAACAACAAAATCATCATTCCTGTATGTAGATGTTTATGAAAAATTGGAACCATTCTTATTGGCCCTTTGTCTTTTTTGCCGATTTATTACAATCTTATTTTAACATAGTCTTTTTGTACTTAAATCTTTTCATTTCAATGACATCAGTGTAATAATTATTCTTTATTTTTCTGAAAGAATTGATGAGAACTTGACCGAAAGTTTGTAGCAGTTTAAATCATCATTAATTCAAAAAATACATTATCAGTAGGACTTTAACAGAGAATATATACAGGGTCAGATCTGCTGCTGGTGTAAATGGTCACAGTTCCATTGATATCAGTAGTGCTATGATGATTTACCTAACCCTAAACCCAAACCCTTCCCTAACCCTAACCCTAGTGTGTTGTGTGTTTTGGAAATAAAAGAGCTATTTTTCTAAAATAGTAAATACTTTAAGTAGTTTATAGACAATGGCTAGTTCATCAGAGCAGTCTCTGTTAATTCTAAAACTAATTTATACAAGGCCTCTGCTTCCAGTTCCATCATATCTCTTCAGTTCTTTAGTATCTGTATAATGTGTTTACTTTCTGGAGGATAGATCCAAATTTCAAATGAAATTATACAAATAGTATCTTGTGAGGCAGGTCCTCAACTGGTGGAGTTAGTGAAGGAAATAAATTATTTTTACAGCAGCATGTGATTGAAGACTGAACTGAAGAAAACAAACTTGCTTCATCTTGGAATGAGTCTAGCAGTCTTAATATAAAAACAATGTACTCTTTTATTTGAAAGCATCAAATTCAGGTTCATTTAGCAATAATAATTTGACTTGATCAGTAGGAGAGTATTTCAAAGAGACTACTAGCCACTGAGTAGATCAAGATTTAAATATTTTTGATGTACATAAGCTGCATAAATTTACAGTTTAATAGCGCTCTTTATTGTAAAATTATGTTTCTGTTCTTTCTAGGGGAATTTTGGAGATTGCATAAATCTTTGTAGAAAACTTGGCTGAGAGCAGCTGACCTGAAATTAACTGCTGTCTTCTGGCTGTGGACGCTATTCTAACGTTCCTGTGTGATAGCCTGCAGACTAAATCATGCCAGCGTTATCAGCTGGATCTGGAAGTGACACAGGTACACAAGCCTAAAAGAACTATATGTTCTCCCTTGTCTTTCTTGTGAAGCATGTAATCTTTATCTACAAAAAGATAACTAATTACAGTCCTTTAATCGAACATATTTTTGAGTTTAAAATCTCCTTTTCTTTTAGTTGATTAAATACACTAAACATAAAAACCTTCAAACAGATTATTTATTTATCTAAGGAATTTCTTTTCAGTCACTGGCTCTTCTTTTGTTGTTGTTGTTGTTGTTGTTTTCCAAGGAAGAGGAATTAAATCTTTTACATGGTCCAATGTGTGGAAAAAGTCTAGACGGTTTGTTTGAGTTACAGTTTTAAGTGGGGGCTGGAACAGACAGAGCCTACTCTTCTCCGGAGCAGGCCCTGTTGGCAATGGACCTGGCTGGAGCTGCTCCCACATCCAGAGCAGCCTCTGTCCTCAAGAAGCCCAGGCTGGCTGCGGGCAGGGGCTACTTCTATGTCTGGAGCAGCCTCTGTCTGTGGGGAGCCCGAGCCTGTTGTGGGCAGCGGCTCTTTTTATGGGGCTGGGAACTGGTAGCTGGAAGCCGCCGGCAGCTGGGAGCCAGCAGAACAAGCCTCAGCATGGGGGCTGGGATCTGGGAGCCAGCGATAGCCCCAACCCACTGCAGGACTAGGGATGAGAGCCCTGCAGCCTTGGGGCTGCTTCATCTGAGCTGGAGCAGTCCCTAGACTGGGATCCCACTTGAGTCAGTTTTGTGGCTAAACTCTAGGCAAACTTAACGTTTAACCAGTTACCTGATTACCTGGGATTTTACATTCCTGATATGCAGTGGCAATGCCATTATAAAGATTTTTTTCCCTACCATTGCAAAGTTTTACCCTTTTCAATAACACTAATGTATCTTGAATGTAGACATGCTGACATTTTTGGGAAGGAAAAATCAAATGCCCAAATACAAATCTGTGACTAGCTAGCTAAGCAGCGGTACATTGTGGTGCTGTTTCAAAAAGCTAGGTATTCTGGGATGTATTAATAGGAATGTTGTATGTAAAACACTGGAAGTAATTGTTTCACTCTCCTTAGCATTGATGAGGCCTCAGGTGGAATGTATCCAGTTTTAGGCACCACTGTTTAGGAAATGTGATAAAATCAGAGAGAGTCCAGAAGAGAGGAAAGGTTGCAAGAATTGGGCATGTTTAGCCATGAGAACAGAACAGCAAGCGGGACATAAGTATCAGAATATGCAAAAGGTAATGTGAAGAGGTCTATTAAGTGTTTTCCATGTCCACCCAGAGCAGGACAGGAAGTAATTGTTTGTTTTTTGTTTTTTTGCAGCAAGAGATATTTTTACACACACAATTTAAATTTTAACCTTTTCCATCCTCTGGATCCTACTGCTCTTGCTGGATTTCAGGAGTTTGTTCCCCTCTCTCCTAGTGTACCACATTGCACTAGTATGCATGTCTAGGCCAGCTAGTTTGTCCATGTTGATCTCTATCTTTGAATTCTAGAGCATAGTTGTAGAGTGTTTGTTGTACAGGCTCATCTTTGGTGCTTTCTTGGTTTTGCCCACCTGTCTTTATTGACCTTCAGAGAGCCATGTAAGGTCATTTACTGGTATTTGGCCAAATATTTTCTGCCATTCTGAGTATTTCAAATAGTGAGCAGAGATGGACAATGAAGTGATGGATGACTTGTTGGTATGGGATTTAAACAGCATGTCTTATGATATTCAGTGAAATAAATGTATCCAGTGGTGGTGGCGAGAGGACATAATGAAAATGTGAATAAATAAAATGGCTTGAAAAAAGGTATGAAAAATTAATTCGAGTCAGTAAATTCATCCCCTCCCCAGTTGGCAGGGCTGTGTGGCTCAATGGTCAGAGCCAATAAATTTCCCCCAGTTCACAGGACTGTGTGGCCCAGGCACCAGAGTCAGTAAACTCGCCCTCAGTTTGCAGGGCCATGGAGCTTCTTGGTTAGAGGCAGGAGACAGAGAGAGGGGTTACATCCCCAAGTAGGGGGGGGGTCCAGACTCTCCTTCTCCATGGGATCCCAGGCCTCTATTAGTGGCTATTGCTTAAGCCACTGAATTAGTTAGCAAAAGTACCAACCAACACACACTGAGTCTTGGCTTCAACCATTTCCCTGGACTACTTCCTGCCACTGTTCCTACAGCTGTGGTGGGGGTCATGGTTCCCACTAAGCTGTGCAGTAACACAGCCCCCCAGCTGTTTAGTGAGCCCTGCCTAGCCCTGGAGCTGCCTGGGTGGCTATTGCTTAAGCCACTGAATTAGTTAGCAAAAGTACCAACCAACACACACTGAGTCTTGGCTTCAACCATTTCCCTGGACTACTTCCTGCCACTGTTCCTACAGCTGTGGTGGGGGTCATGGTTCCCACTAAGCTGTGCAGTAACACAGCCCCCCAGCTGTTTAGTGAGCCCTGCCTAGCCCTGGAGCTGCCTGGGTCGGGGGAGCAGCAAGTCTCTGCTAGCCCGTAGGACTTGATGATCTCTCAAGGTTCCTTCCAATTCTATGATTGTGCCATCTGTGTCTTACTGCTGAAATAGTGTTTTGACTTTGGGCCAAAAACAATTTTCTTAGCACTTCAAGGTTTAAATTGCACCCCTTTACTTTAGTAAAGGCTCAGGTTCTGGAGGAAGGGATTATCTTCCACCCCTTATTCCCTTCAGAGAGGGAATCTAGTGTTTGCAGGTCAGGAAGATGTTTTAGGTTTTTTGAGTGTGTATGGATGTCTGTTTCTATCCTGATTTTACTATAAACTTTCTAGCCCTTGACCTTATGTATGGTGCTATCATTTTGCTTCTAACACACCAGCTTTTTCACTTAAATCAGAATGTAGAGTCGTGTTGTCTTTGCTAGTCCCTGGTGGGCAAAACACATTCTCCCACCATGCTATGTAAGCAAACATGAATTGTATGTTGTGAGATATAATGAAATATGAGCTGTTCCAAACTGATAATTTGATATTGAAGTAGCAGCTCAGCACAAATTTGCCTTTAAGACAGGAAAGTACAAATTGTGTTAGTAATGCAAGCATACAAATACACAGAGGCACAGATCTGTTCAGTAAAAAAAAACAACAAAAAAACAAAAAACATTTTTAGATAAATATATATTTTTCCAACACCCTTCTCCTTCTTAATCTATTTTATAATACAAAATATATCTGACTTTTTTTAAAAAAATGCAGTTTTATTGTTTTTCTAGACTTCCGATAGTGCCATATTTTATGATTGTTACAGAATTCTACTCTAATCCCTCTGGAGCTGCAGCGTTGTTTATGTGGCTACATTGTTATACTAGACCAGAATGTTAACAAAAAATGTTATACCAAGGTAAGTTATGGACATGTGGGTATTTTCATCTCCTGAACAGAGAGAACTGACAGAACTACTTGCTTCAAAATCAGATATAAAAATAAAGAAGTGTCACTGTACACTATTAGGTCATGTCTACATTAGGAGATAATTTGAATTTACTAAAGTTCAACTTCTGGGCAACCCGATTTTACAAATTATAAGTTCCGTGTCCACGCTATGGGGAAGAATCAAATGTAGTCTGGGACAGCTCTGTTAATATGGATGCACTACCTCAGACTCCGAGCCCCAGGAAGCATTCTGGAGAGCTGCAGGAGGCCTCCTGGAGGCCAATTAGTTTGAATTAGCAGCACTGGAGTTTCTACACTAAAGTTACTTTGAATTTACAAGTTCAGGACTAGTCCTCGTGAAAAGCAGGACTACAGAGTTTGAATTCTGTGACCCCTTATTCTGGAATAACAGGCTTAGTAGTGTGGATGCATTGCTTACAAATTCAACCGGGGGGGGGTGGGGCTAATATTGGACTAAGATCCTGGTGTAGACCAGGATATAGACTTACTGAAGAGAAGATTTTTGTTATTTTTACTATATAATTATAAAATCATTTGGAATAGAAAAATTATAATTGTATTTCCATTTATGGTATCTAGAGCAGTATGAGCAAGTCATTGTGTGAAATTTTAGTGTACTGACTTCACTAGTGCTTTTTCTGGAGCCTGTTTGTAAAACGAGGCAAATATCTAGCTGAGCGGCAGCCCATGCCCTGCCCAGCCCAGCTACTGCCTCTGGCGCGGGGGGTAAGGTCGCTGCTGGACGGCGCTGTGGGGGTTAATGCGGCCCGCGCCCCGGGCGGCCGCTTCAGGGTGGCCGGTTGGAGCTGCTGTAGCCTGCGATCCTAGGCTAATGAATGGGCCACGTAAGTGGCTATCCTTCATCTCTTTGAGCCATAAGATTGTCATAATCAAGGGGGTCTCCCAGATATACCAGTGAAATTGGCAAAACTGCCCTATCTGGAATTTGCAGGGTGTGCCAATTGAACTGTAGAGGCACCTTGCTTGGATGCAGAGGGAGCGCACAGCTTTCATAGTGTGCAGTCAGTGCACACCTCACTTCATGTGCCTTTGCTTTACATTCATGTCACTTCAGTAATATCTATAGGAAACAAAAAGGTATGGATGGAAATCTGCAAAATCTGGCAACCCTGTGTGTGTGGGTGGTCAACAAAGTGTCTCATGGACCACATGTAGAATCCCGATGGACTGCATATGAGTTGCAGGTTGCCCACCACCGTGTTAAAGAGTTGCAATATGGCAAAGTCTTGAAGCCCTTGGTCAGCTGAGCTACTGAGATTTGCCACAAAAATTTTGTATTACAAAAATGTGGTAAAGCCTGTGTTTGCTAACATGAAGTTGCTGAATGTGCATATGACTACTGCCAAGATTTTCAGGTGTAAAAATTGCATAGGGGCTCTACAGCAAACGTAATTATGCAACTACCTCTAGCTACACCATAGTTCAGGTTACAACACTATTTTCCTAAATATCCAGTCTGGAAATTGATACCAGTTGAGACGAAACTCTCATTGGTTTCAATGGGACCAGACAGTCATCCTTGATTCTGGAATGATCTTTCTTTAGCTGACAGAGGCATTAAATGATAAGAACATACATAAGAATGGCCATACTGGG